CAGCCGGAATGGCTTGCCCGTGCTCTCCTGAGGACAATGGCCTCTGGCCTTCAGCATGGAGAACATGGAAGCACCGTGTGCTCCTAAACCAGTATGGACAGCACTCAAGCAAGTCTAGGGGAAGAGTGGGAAGACCAGGCCTGCCGGGAACACCTGTGCATAATCTGATGTTAATTCCTGATTGACAGTGGCCCAGCCTGTGAGTCCCAAAGCCTCTCCTCTCCTTGCAGTGACTCAGGCCCTGTAGCTTTCCTGCCTGTCTTGGAACATCTGTCACGAGCACTCAGTTGTGTTGAGGAAGCTGAAGGTAACTGAGGTAGGAGGGCGGCCTTCAGACCTAAGCCTCACGACATCAGTGCACATGCTGGCACGCTCTTCTGCAGTACTGACCTTGCATCCCTAACCCAGAGAAGCATGGCACTGGGCAACGTCTGCCCTCATCCAACCCAAGTACCCCTCTCCCAGACCAGCAAGGACCCAAGAGGTGCTGAGCATTAGCTGGGTGAAGTCGGCCTCCTCACGAAGCCAAGTCTGCTTGTCTTCTGGAGTTCTTTCCCACCTCTCAGTTTGGGGGAGTAGGTCTCCTGTCCTTCACAGGGAGGCATGCTGAAACTGAGAACTGAGAGAACGCAGCCAAGGCACTGTGCTGTGCTGTGTGGCTGCCACCAGGCACCAGAGCACCGCCCGTGGCTCTGGCCCTGGCCTCAGACCCACACCTGGGTGAGTGCACCCTTCCTGCATGTGCTGCAGGCATGCCGTCCTCTGCCTCTCCTTCCTGGGGGGACAGAAAGCAGCTCATGGGGTCCAAAGGGTCACTGGCCAAACCTCCAGAGAATGATTTCAGAGGAGGCCTTTGACCTGGCCAGCCGCCCATGATGTCTTGAGCAAGCTGGGCAGCCTGTGTCAGCGTGGCCAGCAGCCTCTCCCCATAAGGCCACACTGGTAGATGTGGGGAACATTGCCTCACTCAGCTGTCCTGAGCCGGGAAAGCTAAGGCATAGCGGCCCTGAGGTGTCCACAGTCCTGAGGTGCCACAGCGAGGTGAGATGCAGATAATGAGGGGCTGGCTACCCACAGTGCACCCATCAGCGAGGGCCTAACAGCCCCTCACCAGCCTGGGCCTGCTCTGCTAGCACAGCTGAGGACGCTCAGGAGGGCCTGGAACCTCATGTTGGTAGGCAGACACTGCAAACGTTCCCCTGTCATGAGTTTTATCTAGAAGCTAGCCAAGCACACAGTGGCCACCCCAGAGAACATCCGCTAGAGCTGCACACCCTCTGAACACACACGGGATTCTACATGCGGCCAACAGGAACAGTGCAGATCCTGAAGCAGGTCACAGCCTCCCAAACAACCTGAGATTCCTATTACCTCCCTGGACCTCCCCTGCCTCTCTCACCTTCTGCCCACACTATCGTCAGTGTCTTCCCGGGAATTCATCCAGAGGCAAGCCAGTTCTAAAGCCACCTCACAGTGAAGCTCCTCCTGCAGCTATCACCCCTGTCCTTGGCCTTGTCTTCCCCCTTTCCCCCCACTCCTGCCAGAGGCAGAATGAGAGTTAGGCCAGGTAGCTGCACAGGCAAGTAAGTACCTGTTGCACACAGCTTCTCTCCGTCTGCTCCCTATACAGATGGCTTGATGTAGGCTGGACAGCCAGAGACAGGTCCAGTGTCCACACCTGCCAAAGTAATCTTCAGGAGGAATGGTGGGACCCAGCCACTGAGGGTTCCTGGACCCCATGGCAGGGGGCGCTTGCTGAGGTCCCTGCTTTTCTGCTGTAGCACAACTCAAAGAGAACGTGGTATCCAATAGGCCTGTGAATGGCGCCCAAGCTGCTGGCTATGCAGCTTTGGGTTCCCCAAGGTGACGGTGAGGAGTTAGCATCTGATTACCTGAGATTAAAGGCTCCTTTAGGAAAAGGCATGAGGCAGGGGGTTGGTACAGGAACAGGTCACACTGTATCCTGGAGCCAGGCAGCTGGGACAATAGCTCTGAAGGTGACTCCTGGACCTAGGAATTTCAGGGGCAAGAGAGCTGAGGAGAAAGCATTACCCCTTGATAGTCAGCCACTTTAGTGTAGATGAGAGCCAGGCCCATCTCCAAACACAGCCACTGCATGTGGACGTGAGGGCTACGGAAGCAAGATCGTGTTCACCCATGCAGGCCACACTAGGAGCCTGGGAGCGCTTGAAAGGCCAGAAGTGTAATACGACCTAATCGATAGGGATGATGGAAAAAGCAGCTCAGGGTAAAAGCCAAGAAAACTGAGGTGCACACAAGATCCCAATGGGGCTAGAGAGGTCTCAGTGAAGACAGGTTAACCCCCAAAGACAGGACCGGCTGGAGCAGCAAGGCCTCAGATGAGATAGGTCTTGACATCTGTGCCCGGGGCCACAATGTGAGCTGAGTCGAGCTGTAGCCAGGGCCAGGACAAGCTTCTGGAGGCCTCACTGAGGCTGTTCCTTTGCAAAGCCACGTCAGGGCATCCAAGGAGCTGGGAGGTCACACTGTATCCTGGAGCCAGGCAGCTGGGACCATAGCTCTGAAGGTGACTCCTGGACCTAGGAATTTCAGGGGCAAGAG